GATGTTCCCCAGGGTGCCGGTTGCAAACCACACCTTCCGCAAACCACACCCTTTGGAGTCGCCGACGCAGTGCCGTTTTTAATGCATGCTCCGCGTGCGGATCGTGTATTAAGAATGAAGTTCATTCATATGTTAATCATGTATGAAACATCGTATATGTTTAAACATCCGATGTATAAAAAACTGCCCTGTAAGGGCCTTCTGGACTGCCCCTGAGATCCTGGCGACTCCATTTTTTTTGAGCCGGGCGTTTTCGCGCGTTTTCGGGTCCCGGGGACCCTCACAGATCGACCCGGCTCGGAAAGTGACGCAGAGAGATGGGGTCCAGGGCTCGGGGCGCGGATTCTCACGATGTTGTATTTCCCAACCATCCTGTGGTGTTGGGTCTTCGTTTTGAAGAGACGGTGCCCCGCGTCTCCTCCCGCTGCCCCCTCCCTCCTCCCTCCTCCCCCTCCTTGCCTCTGCTCTCGGCACACACCTCACACGTTTCGTAGCCACATAGGGAGCTCCACCGAAGGCCCCAGTGGTTGCTCTCGCATCCAGTCGCGACCGGCGAGAGTGGTCGCTTCCGATTTTGCTTAATATTTCGGTATCGGTCGCGGCCGAGTTGCTTCAAAGTCGGTCGCGACCGATCGGCCGCGACCAATCGGTCGCGATCGGTGGCGACCGGTCGCCACCGATCCTGTGATCGGTCGCGATCGGCCGCGACCGACTTGGAGTGCCGATCGGTCGCTACCGGTCGCGACCGAAACGAATCGGCATCCCACGATCTGGGAGGGCACTGGCTTGCGCGTCTATGGTTGGGCCCCCCCCGTGGCCCCTGGAAGCGGGGGACGTAAAGTGGCCGCAGCACCAGTCTCGGTCGGGCCTGTCCCTCGGCGCGGGCTCCGTGCACGGTGTGGAAACCAATGCCCGCAAAACACCCTGCTTGCCTCCAGGGTGCCTGTGGTTTCTTGGGTTCCGATGGCTTTCTTGTGGAAAGCGAACCCCACGCCAACCATCAATACACTTCCTGGGGTCCCAGGGTTGGATTTCTGTGGGAGGTTTCTTGTGGTCGAGCTCCTACTGTACGCGCCCTCCTTGCTGGACCGGGGAGGCGAAGACGCTGATCCTGGGCCCAGGATCCAGGGTCGACTAAGCCAGGATCGGTGAGGCGGTCAGTTGAGCGACGGAAGAAGACGGAGTCGGTTGCGTACGTCCGACTGTGTCGGGCCGCTCCCTGCGCGCCGCCGGGGAGGAGCGGGCCCAGGCCGACTTCGAGGCCTTCCTGCAGCGCTACATCGCCTTCCTGCACCGGCAGGCGCCGGACTACGGGCTGCCGCCAGACGGGGCGGCCCCGGAGGCGGTGAAGGCGGCCCCTGCTGGGGCGGGTGATGACGGGGGCAACGCTCGGGCGGGTGGCAACGGGCGGGGACGACGAAGGAGGGAGGAGAGGGGTGACGTGGAGGGATGCTGGAGGAGGGAGGCGGATGACGAGGGATGCTGGATGACGTTCTCCCTCGTCCAGCATCCCTCGTCATCCGCCTCCCTCCTCCACCATCCCTCCACGTCGCCCCTCTCCTCCCTCCTCCAGACGGGCGGACCCCGCTCGGGCGGGGGCCCAATGAGCGACGCAGGCAAACGGGGCCGGCTGGGTGGACACTGGTGCGTGAAAGGTGCCCGCGCCAGGTCGCGCGTGAGCGCCTTGGTCTCCAGAGTTAGCGTGCCGCGCTGGCGGCTCGCGTGAGCCACCGCGCAACGTCGCTGTGCCATCTCGCGTAGGACCCGTCTCGCGTCGTCGCTCAAGTGGGGCGCTGAAGAAGGGGGCCACAAAAGGGGCCCTCGAGGGCCCCTTTTTTGGGAGCCAGCAGGGGCCCACGAGGGGCCCTGAAGGGCCCCCTTTAGGGCCCTTTTCTTCCCCCCCCCCTTCGAGGCAGTCCAAAAAAGGAGAAGCCTTCGACGATAAGAGGAGCTGTCATCTCTTTCGCGGCGAAAGGCGGCGGAAGGTCAGCGGAAGCGAATCGAGGCCGCCTCAGCCGGCGGAAGCTCGACGGAAGGAGAAGATGCGCCCCCAAGAGATGAGAACGCTTTGGGGGTCCTTCCGAAGTCGCCCACTTGTTGGGTCTCCCCGCCGTGCCGTCTCGCGTAAGACCCGTCTTTTATCCTCGCCCGAATGGGGCGTCGAAGAACAGGGCCACGAAGGGGCCCTCCAGGGCCCCGTTTATAGAGCCAGCAGGGGCCGGGGCCCGCGAGGGGCCCTCGAGGGCCCCATAGGAGAGCCCTGCTCTTCAGCACACCCCATTTTTGAGGGGCCTCCCCCCCCAAACTCACCACCCGCCCGCCAGACTTACGTCGGGCCTGTCCCCCTATACAGGGGGATTTCCGACGAAAAACATAAGATACCCAACAAAATAGTTCCCCCCACAAAAAAACAAAAAATAGGCTGGGGAGTATGTTTTGTGAGTATTTTGTAGACTTTTGGGTGTATTTTTTGGGGGTATCTGTATTTTTCTTTCGTCGACAAACCCCCTCTAGGGGGACAGGCCCGACGTAACGCCAGACGGGGGCGGCCCCGGAGGCGGCGAGGGCGGCTCCTGCGGGCGGCGCCGGCACGGCCGCGCAGCGGGCCGCCGCCGGCCTGCCGCGCGTGCTCGACCAGCGCTTCCGGCACAACTTCGCGGTGGCCCCCGGGCGGGGGGAGAGGGGCAGCAGGAGCTCCGCCGCAGAAGCGGAAAGTCGGGCGTGTCCCCCTACAGGGGGGACTTTTCGACGAAATATATGTATACTTATATTTATATGTATATTCATAGTTTATCTATGTATATATATATATATATATATATGTTTGTTATATATATATATATATATATATATATATATATGAAAAATGCACCAAACATGTCAGACAAATGTTACAAAAATGGTCCCCAAGTAGGGGAGCAAAAAGTGACTGAACATAAAAACTCGAGGTCCGCGCGGAGTGCTCGGATCGGCGCTGGGGCCCCCCCCCGGCGCGCTCCGCGCCGCCGCTGGCGCGCTCCGCGCGCCAGAGAGGGGGGTCCCGCGCCGATCCGAGAAATCCGCGCGGACCTCAGAGTTTTTCTGTTTATGTCAGTTTTGTTCCCCTATGACCACACCGTGCGGTGAGTCGGTAAGGGTCCGGGGTCACCGCACGGTTTTGGGACTCGGGTCGTTCTCCGAGGACGTCTCGGGCGACAGGAGCCTCCGAGGTGCCAAGGCCGTGCGGTGACGGACCGTGCGGTGAGGCCCTGGGGCATCTCGAGGTCACCGCACGGTTTGTCACCGCACCGTTTCGGGACTCCAAACGTAAGAGTTATACACCGTGGCATCGCTCGGACGTGTGCAAAAACATACACACACAAAAAACACACTGTGGGACAAAAACGCACTCTGTGGGAAAAACACAAACACACACACACACACACACACACACACACTGTGGAAAAAAAGCTCACAGTGTGAGTTTTGTGTGTTTCTTTTTTCCCACGTGTGTGTTTTCCCACCGTGTGTTGTGTGTGTGTGTGTGTGGTTGTATGTGTTGTGTGTGTGTGTGTTTTTGTGTGTATGTGTTGTGTGTGTGTGTTGTGTGTGTTGTGTTGTGGTGTGTTGTGTTGTGTGTGTGTTTGTGTGATTTTGTATGTTTTTTGTGTGCTTTTCTTCCGCGAGGGCCATCGACGAGCATCCTGGTTCGTCTTGCGAACAGCCCAAAGAACGCGCACGACACCGATAAGATGCACGGGGGACGCACGCCCCCGAGCGAAGGCGAGACACAGGCACCCTGCACTGAATTGCTCCTGAGCCTCAGGGCAGGGTAGCGGTGTGTATACAAATCGCAGTTTAGAGCCAGCGATTTGATGCACCGACGCCCTCCCTGGAGGTGCATGCAAAATTCGTCGGAGAGCGTCTGTGTATATATGATATATGTATATATATACATATAACTAATGTATGCATGCGCATGTATGTATGCATGCGTGCATGTATGTATGTCGCAGGTTGGGGGGGCGAGATCTCAGTGGAACGGAGACCCCCAACCGGGCAATCGTTTCGTTTCGTTCGTGTCGTGCGTGCGGGCGATTCGAAGCTGCGTGGGCGCGCGAGAGTCATGAACCCGCCGTTGCTAGGGCGAAGTCAAGACAAATGGTTCTTCCCCGTCCGTCCGTCCGTCCGGCGGTGGCCCTAGCGGTGTCCCGAGGTGTCCCGTGGTGTCCGCCGTTGCTAGGGCGCAGTCAAGACAAATGATTCTCCCCCGCCCGCACGTCCGTCCGGCCGTCCGGCGGTGGCTTGCGGTGTCCCGCGGTGTCCCGTGGTGTCCCGTGGTGTCCCGTGGTGTCCACCGTTGCTAGGGCGAAGTCAAGACAAATGATTCTCCCCCGCCCCCCCGTCCGTCCGTCCTTCCGGCGGTGGCTCGCGGTGTTCCGCAGTGTCCCGTGGTGTCCCGTGGTGTCCCGTTGAGTGAGATCGAGAGTGAGATCGATATTGAGATCGATAGTGAGATCGATACTGAGATCTATGTGGTGCCCCGAGGTGGCCCGTGGTGTCCCGTTGAGTGAGATCGATAGTGAGATCGATAGTGAGATCGACAGGTGTCCCGTGGTGTCCCGTGGTGTCCCGTTGAGTGAGATCGATAGTGAGACCGGTAGTGAGACCGATAGTGAGATCGAGAGGTGTCCCGCGGTGTCCCGTGGTGTCCCGTGGTGGACCGTGGTGTCCCGTGGTGTCCCGTTGAGTGAGATCGGGTGAGATCGATAGTGAGATCGATGTGGTGTCCCGAGGTGTTCCGTGGTGTCCCGTGGTGTCCCAAAAAGTGAGATCGATAGTGAGATCGATTGGTGTCCCGTGGTGCCCCGTGGTGTCCCGTTGAGTGAGATCGATAGTGAGATCGATACTGAGATCGATGTCGTGTCCCGAGGTGTCCCGTGGTGTCCTATGGTGTCCCGTTGAGTGAGATCGATAGTGAGATCGGTAGTGAGACCGATAGTTAGATCGAGAGGTGCCCCGTGGTGACCCGTGGTGTCCCGTTGAGTGAGATCGATAGTGAGATCGACAAGTGTTCCATGGTGTCCCGTGGTGACCCGTGGTGTCCTGTGGTGTCTTGTTGAGTGAGATCGATAGTGAGATCGATAGAGTCAGATGTTGGTTCCCCCCTTCTCCCAGCCACAACCTCCTTATCACCCCAAGTTTGGTCGTATAGGTATGAATGCATGTATGCATGCATGTATGTGTGCATACATGTATGTATGTACGTTTGTATGTATGTATACATGAATGTATGTGTGTACGTGTATATGTATGTATGTCCGCATGCATGCAGTCATGCATGCTTGGATGTATGCATGTATGTAGGTATGTATGTATGCATGCACGTATTTATGTATGTATGTATGTATGTATGTATGTATGTATGTATGTATGTATGTGTGTATGTATGTATGTATGTGTGTATGTATGTGTGTATGTATGTATGTATGTGTGTATGTATGTATGTATGTATGTATGTATGTATGTATGTATGTATGGATGGATGTATGTATGTATGTATGTATGTGTGTATGTGTGTATGTAGGTATGTAGGTATGTAGGTATGTAGGTATGTAGGTATGTAATTATGTATGGATCGGTCGGTGTATGTATGTATGCATGTGTGTATGCATGGATGTGTGTGTGTGTCTGTGCTTGTGTATGGCTGTATGAACGTTCATATGTTTGTACATATGGATAGATGTATGCATGTATGCATGCAATTATGTATAGATGTTTGTACACATGTACATGTGTATGCATGCATGTATGCATGTTTGGTTGACGTATGCAATTATCACGGTGTAGATAGGTAAACAATTATATGTATCCGTGGCGTAGGACCCGCACGCCGCTCTCCGACCTGGACGCGGCCTTGTTCCGAGGCGCGGTGCAGCACTACGAGGACTTCCGCCAGCGCCAGGCCATGCAGAAAGTGCGGAAGCTGCAGTCCGTGGTGCGGAGCCTCCCGGTGGCTGCTGAGAGGCGAGCGCTCTGCGAGGCCGTGAGGATCGAGGACGGACACACAATCGCACGAGTATCAGCTGTCGGAGCCCCGCGCGGAGTCCTAAGACCGGCGCGGGGCCCCGTGGTAGCGCATGCGGCCGTGCCCCTGGCGCGCTCCGCGTGCCATGGAGGGGGGCCCGGCGGCGACCCAGGAGATCCGCGCGGAGATCTGAGAGCCAATGCTCGTGCCGTCTCTTCGCTCCTCTGAGGAAGCACCCCGCCGTGCTGGTTGTTGGCGAGACGGGGTGCGGCAAGTCCACGCAGGTGCCCCAGTACTTGCTGGAGGCCGGCTACCGCAGCATCCTGGTGACGCAGCCCCGGCGCATCGCTGCCGCCTCGCTGGCTCGGCGAGTGGCCCAGGAGAGGCTGCAGGGGGGGGGCTCCCAGGTGGCTCACCAGGTGCGCTTCGACTCCACGCGGTCGCGCAACACCAGGATCTTGTTCGTGACGGAGGGCATTCTGCTGCGCCTGCTAGAGGCCGACCTGGACGCGGCACGCTTCGACGTCATTGTGGTGGACGAGGTGCACGAGCGCCACCTGACAGTGGACCTTCTACTGGGCATCCTCCGCGGGGTCATCCACGAGCGGCGGCCCGATCTGAAGCTGGTGCTGATGTCCGCGACGCTGCAGCGGGAGCTCTTCGTGGACTTCTTCGACTTGGACGCGGAGGCCGTGGTGGATGTCCCCGGCCGCTGCTTCCCGGTCGAGACTGAGCATATCCAGCTCCCCGGGGAGCCCGAGACCATTCGGAACGACATCGTGAGGCGGCCGAAGAGGAGGACGGAGTTCGACTGCGAGCCGTACCTGCAGATCCTGAAGCGCCTCGAGGCCCAGACCCAAGCGGACGAGCGGGGCGACGTGCTGGTGTTCTTGCCCGGCGTGTTCGAGATCGAGACGTTGATTGCTGCAATCGTCGAGTTCTCGTCGCGGACAAAGCGTTGGATCGCGTTGCCTTTGCACTCGCAGCTCCCGCTGGAGCAGCAGGAGAAGGTGTTCGACATGGCGCCGCCGGGCGTCAGAAAGGTCGTCGTGTCCACCAATATTGCCGAAACGTCTGTAACCATTGACGGCATCCGCTTCGTCATCGACAGCGGGAAGATGAAAGGGATGGACGTCGACGCGATCTCTTCCGTCCGCCACCTTGCAGAGCGCTGGGTCTCGCAGGCTTCCGCAGAACAGCGCAAGGGCCGCGCGGGGCGCACCGGGCCTGGCAGGTGCTACCGGCTGTTCTCGGAGCGGCTCCACGGGCACCTGGAGGCGTTCGTGGTGCCGGAGATCCACCGGGCAGCGCTGGAGACGCCGCTCCTGCAGGTCATGGCCCTGGGCTTCGAGCTCCCGCTCTTCCGCTTCCCCGAGTCGCCGCGGGCAGAGGCGGTCGCGATGGCGCTGAGGCGCCTCATCCTCATGCACGCCGTCGTGCCGCTGGCTGCCCCGGAGGCCGAGGCCCAGGAGGAAAAGACAGCAGGAGCTTGAGAGCTTTTGGAGTTCCGCGCGAAGGTCTCGGATTGGCGCAGGCCTCCCCCCTCGGTGCCGATCTGAGAAGCCCGCGCGGACCTCCCGTGCTTGACGCTTCGCGTAATCATCCCCACCAGCCCCGGCAGAAACAGATCGCCTGGTGAGTTGCCTTGATCAGGGAAGTGCAGCAGCACGCAGTGCAACCGCCGCCTTGAAAGTGTTCTAGGGGCCCTCTTGGGGCTCTTTGGGAAGGTCTGGGAGGCCTCATGAGGCAATCGGGGAAACGCTGTGAAAAGAGGAGGGGGGTCATAGATTCAGGTCGCCTCTTCGGAGGCTCAACATGGGCGTCTTTGGGCCGTCTTGGGGCGCTCTTGGGGCGTCCTTGGGGCGCTCTTGGGCGCTCTTGGGGCCCTCTTGGGGCCCGCTTGGGGCTCTCTTGGGGTGTCTTGGTGCCATCGTAAGGTCTCAAGAGCCGATCGGATGCGACAAGGCGAGAAGGCACACACAGATCATTTTCCTCCGATTTTCGAGCCATGTTGGCTTCTTCGGGGGGTCCGTGGGGGCTCGGAGGGCACTTGAAACTGTCTTGGGGCCGTCTTGAGGCCTCTTGGGTGTGTGTCGGAGGCTATCTTGAGCCATCTTGAGGTATGTTGAGCCATCTTGGAGGCCATCGTGGGCTCTCTGAGACCCTTTTGGAGCCCTCTTGGACCGTCTAACCCCCCCGCCCCCTTCCCCATTCCCAGGCCCAGTGGAGGGGTAGGGGGAAGGGTAAACCCCTCCCCCGATCAGGGGACGGAGGGGTTTTGCCGGAGGACAAAGTTCGTTAAACAACCTACGCCCAGAGGGCTGGTGGGAACGTGTATGCTTGCGCCCCAGACATCAGATGTCTTCATTTTCTGATTGCGGGGCCCCCAGAAGTCCCGACCCCCCGTCGGGACCGCACTTTCATTCCGGGTCGCTCTCTGACAGTCCTGGGGCTTTGCGAGGGCCCCCTGTGGGCCTCCCCGGAGGCCACCAAAAGCCCCCCCCACCGCCGTGAACTTCTCACCACGCGAGGGCGTCTGAGCGTTCGGCCACTGTTAGAGGGAGTCCGGGAACTTTCACCACTTGGAAGCGTATTTGACCACGTTCTACCTCTGAGCGCTGCGGCGCTGTCCACCCACTCCGCCACGGAGCGCGCCTCGGCGCGACGCGGGTGTCCTGCCCTGTGCTGTCCTGGTCTGGGAGCGGTTTCACAGTCAACCCGCATAGTAAGGATGAGCAATTGTCCAGGGTGACCTTTGCATCCATCCTTCCTCTTCGGCCCACCCTTGGCCGCTTTCGCTGGCAGCGCCCCGGTCGCAAAGCGTCCGCATGGCCTTCCAGGGCCCTTGCATCCTTCTCGCGCGCCCTCACTACAGTGGAGACCCATGCCAAGAAACACCCTGCTTGCCTCCAGGGTGCCCTGGGTCTCTTGGGCTTCGATGCTTTTGCTGTGGGAAGCGTGACGTCCCCACACCGAAAATCCATGGAAGTCCTGGGGTCTCAGGGTTGGGTCTCTTGTGGAGGGTTCCTTGTGGACTGGCGGCCAGTCACTGGCCCCTACTGCATACAGGGCCGTTTTTAGTTCATGCTCCGCGTGCGGATCATGTATGACAAATACAGGGATTTAGCATTCAAAACAACGAGAAGTTCATGCATACATTTATTCATACATTCGCCATGTATGACAAATCCGATGCTTAAAAACAAACACATCCTATGTATTAAAAACTGCCCTGTACGGGTTGACTGTGCGCTCTTGCCGCCGTTCCTCCTCCTGCGCGTGCCGCCGCGCCGGCGGCCTCCCAGCCCGAGGCCGCCGAGGCCGCGGGCGCCGCGCCCCCGGCCGCCGCCACCGCGGGGGGCGCCCTGGTGGCGCCGGGCAGCGGCGGGGAGGCGCTGCGCGCAGGTCGGGGGGCACCAGCTGTGCACTGGCACCGAGCCTAGGCCAGGCCGACCCTATAGGCTTAAGTCGGGCCTGTCCCCCTACAGGGGGATTTTCGGCGAAAGATAAAACATATACCAAAAACAGCCAAAAAATAATCCAAAATTGTCGGGGGATTATTGTTTGTGCTTTTTGACCTGTTTGGAATATGTTGGGAGTATTTTTAATTTTTCGTCGAAAATTCCCCTGTAGGGGGACACGCCCGACATATCCTAGGCCCAGGATCCGTATATATGGTCCAGGGCTTGGCCCCCCCCCCAATGCTGATGCCATTGGCCCCCCCCCCCCCCTGCGCGATGGTCCCCCCCGCCCCCCCCTGTGGGCGTGGCGTGGTGCTGCGCTGCGGTTCCCCCCCCGTGGATGTGGTGTGGTGCTGTGGTGGTTCAGAGGTGGGCGTGGCGTGGTGCTGCGCTGCGGTGCCCCCCTCCCCCCCCTGTGGATGTGGTGTGGTGCTGTGGTGGTTCAGAGGTCGTCGTCGTCGTCGTCGTCGTCGTCGTCGTCGTCGTCCTCGTCGTCCTCGTCGTCGTCGTCGTCGTCGTCGTCATCGTCGTCGTCGTCGTCATCGTCGTCGTCGCCGTCGTCATCGTCGTCATCGTCGTCGTCGCCGCCGCCGCCGGCGTCGTCGCCGCCGCAGCCGTCGTTGTCGTCGTCGTGGTCGTCGTCGTCGTCGTCGTCGCCGTCGTCGTAGTCGTCGCCGTCGTCGTCGTCGTCGTCGTCGTCTCTGGGACCATACCATCTGGGGGGGGGCCCGAGGAATCCTGGGACCATACCATCTGGGGGGGGGGGCCGTGGGCCCTCGACCCTGGATCATATATGCATTCTGCCAAGGGCAGGAGGGCGTATACACCGATCCTGGGCCCAGGGTGGTCCTGGCCAGGATCGATGTTGGGGTGCATGATTGGTGCCTTGCTAGCAGGGGGCTGGGCGGCCGGCTTCGGGGTGGACGGGCTGGAGGCGATGCTGAGGTCAGGGGCATCGATGGGGGGGGATAGGCCTGGGATGGGGACGAAGTGTTGGTGTTGGTGGTGTTTGGACTTCTGCGTCGGTTCTCGTCGATTTTCCAGCGGCCAGATGCTCTCCAGCGGCGATGCTGAGGTCAGGGGGTATCGGGAGAGTCGGGGGCTCCGCGGGCTGGAGACGATGCTGCGGTCGGGGGGATGTCGGGGGCAGCGCTCCTCGGAGGAGGATCAGTTGATTACCCATGCCTGGGTCCGACTGTGTCGAACCTGTCCTTTGCCGACCTGTCGGCGACGCATCGCCGATCCCGGGTCGACGGTGGGCGGGCCCCTGACCCTATAGGACACCCATGGCCCCAGCAGTGCCCACTACGGGTCGAAGAGAGAGCCACACCTTTCCGATGCTCTCGCCGAGTCTCCTCCAGGGAGGGTATAGGTCCTCGTCGGCTCACGGCCGCGCTACACGTCGAGGCCAGGTGACCCAAAGACGAGAACGTTCCAGGTGCCAGGTGCAACTGTGCCAGGTGCCACTGATAGGGCGGTTTAGGTGTCCTCCCGGGGTGGCCCCGGCCCCGGGCGCTGCCCCTCCCCAGGGACTTCGGGCTCCTGCGCGGCTGCCCCGCGCGGCAGCGGCTGGCGCTGACGCCGCTCGGCCGGGCTCTCCCTCCGCGGCGGCTTCGGGGGGGGGGCCCGCGTCTGTCCTGCGAGCAACGGCAGGCCGTCTGGGGTGTCGGGCGCGAGTTCGATGCGGATTCGGTTCAGGTTCGACGCGGATTCTGTCTTCGTTTGTTCCTTATCCATCGTTTCAGCAACATTACTATCAGTAGTCGTAGTCGTAGTAGTCATAGTAGTAAGTAGTAATAGTAGTCGTCGTCAACGTCGTCGTCGTCGTCGTCGTAGTCGTAGTCGTAGTCGTAGTCGTAGTAGTAGTAGTAATAGTAGTAGTAGTAGTAGTAGTAACTAGTAGTAACTAGTAGTAGTAGTAGTAGTAGTAGTAGTAGTAGTAGTAGTAGTAGTAGTAGTAGTAGTAGTAGTAGTAAGTAGCAAGTAGTAAGTAGTAAGTAGTAAGTAGTAATGAGTAAGTAGTAAGTAGTAAGTAGTAAGTAGTAATGAGTAAGTAGTAAGTAGTAAGTAGTAAGTAGTAGTAGTAGTAGTAGTAGTAGTAGTAGTAGTAGTAGTAGTAGTAGTAGTAGTAAGTAGTAAGTAGTAAGTAGTAAGTAGTAAGTAGTAAGTAGTAGTAGTCGTAGTAGTAGTAGTAGTAGTAGTAGTAGTAGTAGTAGTAGTAGTAGTATTAGTAGTAGGAGTCTCGTCGTCGTCGTCGTCGTCGTCGTCGTCGTCGTCGTCGTCGTCGTCGTACGTCCGTCGTCGTCGGCTCTCGTCGTCGTCGTCGTCGGTAGGTCGTAAGTCGTAGACAGGAGGTAGTTAACAGCAGGAGTTTGTAATCGTAGTATCAGTAGTAAGTAGTAGTGTATAGTAGTAGTAGTAGTAGTGGTAGTAGTAGTAGTAGTCAGTAGTCAGTCGTCAGTAGTCAGTAGTATGAAGTAAGAAGTAAGAAGTAAGTAGCAAGTAGTAAGTAGTAGTAGTAGTAGTAGTAGTAGTAGTAGTAGTAGTAGTAGGAGTAGTAGTAGTAGTAGTAGTAGTAGTAGTGGTAGTGGTAGTAGTAGTAGTAGTCGTCGTAGTAGTAGTACTCGTCGTCGTAGTCGTAGTCGTAGTCGTAGTAGTAGTAGTAGTAGTAGTAGTCGTAGTGGTAGTAGTAGTAGTAGTAGTAGTAGTAGTAGTAGCAATAGTAGTAGTAGTAGTCGTAGTAGTAGTCGTAGTAGCAGTAGTAGTAGCAGTAGTAGCATTAGCAGTAGTAGTAGTAGTAGTAATGTAATGTAATGTAATGTAATGTATTGTAATGTAACGTAATGTAATGTACTGTAATGAAATGTAATGTAATGTAATGTAGTTGTAGTAGTAGTGGTAGTAGTAGTAGTAGTAGTAGCAGTAGCAGTAGCAGTAGCAGTAGCAGTAGCCGTCTGGGGTGTCCGGCGCGAGTTCGATGCGGATTCGGTTCAGGTTCGACGCGGATTCTTTCCTCATTTGTTCCTTATCTA